ACCACTGATGCCTTTTAGGGTAGCATTCCCTCATATAAATAAGGGTGGGATACTGGCCTAGGTGTATGCTTCTCTCTGTCCCACAGCTCGGAGGTTGGGCCATATAAAATCACCAGCATCTGGCCATTTTTGACCTACAAAGGTGGCAATTTCATAGTTTCACATGAATACATGGATTTACACACAATCTTTAATGCTACACCACCTGTTTCTTATCTTCCTAATTTAATTCCACGTAATTCTGGCATCTGCCAACCTTCTCCCCTTCTGGCTGTCAAAAGAGATTCAAGTACTGGCTCAAAGTGGAGAAATATTTAATTTTACTAAAGAATCCTTGGGATGTGAAGGAGGACATATACCTCTAAAATAATGAAGAAACAGAAGCATTTCCAGAACAATGCCACCAAACACAACTAAGGGACAACATGGGAACACAGTTTAAAGAGGCTGACCCAAGCTCTGAGGCCCCTGGTGACCCTACTGGAACCACTGATTTATTGAGTCATCTTTCCATAGAGAAGATAAAGTAATATTGGGCTGTCGGAAAAGTCATGACATCTTTTTTCTGTTTTTCGTTGCAAAAATGCTTCATGACTTTTCCAACAACCCAATAAATACTTCAGGTTGAGTGCGTATGAGTTGGCAGTGATGGTGGATTGGTAGTGATTCTCGTCTACTTGCTTTTAGCAAACATGCTTACTAGCATTAGCAAAGAGAAAAGAAAGGTAACTTTAGTTATTAGGAACTGACAAAAGAAAAAATTTACTGCCTCTAAAATCTCTCAGTTGTGGTAGTTACGCACCTTGAACTAAGGTTTCCGTGTCTAATTTAAGATGTCAAGTCGTCCATTCCCAAGCCGTAGACAATGGCCACAGAAAATTAAAACAAAAATTTACATGGTTGCGGTGGTGACTTTACAGCTTGTCAATGCAGATTTAATAGAAAGTGAAGAAATCTAGCAGAATCATTTCAAAACTTTACTTGACTAGGTAGTTTGTTGAGTTTCTTTATAAATAGTTATAGACTGACATCTGTATGCCTTTTATTTTACCTTCTTGCCTTTGGAGTTGGCTAGCACTTCCAGTACTATGAGAAATAAGACTCCTAAGAGCTTCCTTGTCTTATTCATGGCAAACTTGCATAGTTTTCCATCCTGGCCAAGTAACAAAGAGCAAGGTCTTTGAATATAAAATTTAATGGAACATAGATATCGGAGCAGGGAGAAACTGTGCCACTTTTGGCCACCTAGTGTCAACCTCCCTTCCTCATAGAGCAATGCTGTGATTTTCCCTCAGGGGGAAGTCAAACTTTCCCCACCATTTATGCAGTTCTAGTGCCATGGGCAAGTCAGGTCTGCTCAATTCATCTATCCCATCCTCTGGTCCAGGTATTTAGTCCAATAAAATTAAAATATAAGACTTCTTTGGAATTACAACCTAAAGTTGTCTTTCCATTAGACTTATAGATCAGAGATAAACTATGGCCCATGACTGAAATCTGGCTTTCTACCTGTTTTTGTAAATAAAGTTTTATTGAAACATGGGCACACCCACTGATTTACATGTTGTCCATGGCTGCTTTGAGCTACAACAGCAAAGTTGAGTAGCTGCAAAGCCTAAAATATTTACTCTCTGGCCCCTCACAGGAAAAGTTTCCTGACCCCATTCTTGATAATAAGATGTAAGCCTGGAACATTCAGGAAGCATATCACCTCTACATGGAAAGAGCCTGCTGGAAATGAAGCCAACGCAAAAGAAGAAACTAACTCCAAATATTACAGAAGTTCTTGGATTCAGATGGGCCAGAACTGTTATACCTCAACATTTTCCAGTTATGTAAGCCAATCAATCCAGCCTTTTTCCAAGGCAAGTTTGAATTGGTTATCTATCATTTTAATTTAAATTCACCACACAGATAAAATCCAAAATATTCATTGGAGGAACACAACTCTAACTTCTTCCTCCATTATCTATCCATCAACACCATCAGGACATTCGGTATTTCTTCAGACTAGAATGTCACTGACTGCTAAAAACTATACCTTATGTAACCATTAGCTAAAGCATTGTCGAATCAACTGATTCGGGGTTCGTTGAAGTGTTTTTTGTTTCTTTGTTTGCTTTTTTTTAACCAAACATCCTGAGGTGTCACTGAACAATGAAAAAACAAAAAGAATGGAAGCCAAAATTAACCCCTGCCAAATAAATCCAAAAAAAACAAAAAAAAAACCAGCACTGAGTAATCAATCACAGATCAATTGGGGTGTAAGTATAAAAACAAAAGACAGGTGCCACCATTAACATCTCCCTGAAATAAGGGAAACACTCTAAGACCAGCTAGAGGAAAGGGTGTCTGCTCCCTTACTGAAGCCAAAACTCCCAAGGGGACAGATTTAACTAATTAGGGAGATGGTGATTAAAACCAGAGGTGCTAATTATCTACTGGGTATATATCACTGATAATGTTCCCTACAGGCTCTCAGCAATGGCAGACAAAATGAAGCCTAATATTCCTGCCAATTACACAATCATCATTTGTCTGTCTTTATCTCTCTCCTTAGGAAACTAGTAAGCACATGAAGGTGTGGTTTTCAAGGCAAACTATATGCTCCCGGGAGGAAATAATTTTATATTATGTTCAGAAACGGAATTACTTTGTATTTAAACTTGTTTTAATGTGTATATTCTGAAGCAAGGAGATGTTTCTTTCAACAGTACGCTTTGCACCTGTAGAGGCCAGATGTAAATCTACAAGAACACTGGAGTTAAGTTAGTAAGAAGACCAGTCATATACAGGCAGGGAACAAATATCAAGTGGTAGGGAGAGGGGGGAGAGAAAGGCTTAAAATGGAGCTGGTGAAGCAATTTTAGCACTTCAGCTTATTGGAAAAATAAAACAAAAAACAAAACCTATCAATAGTAGTTGGTTTTTTATCCATACCAAGAGTAGTACGTAGGCCTTGACAGGATTTTTCTTCCTGAGTGTTCCTCCCCTATGAGTTCAAGAATGATTCAAGAATGTCAGAGAAAGTATTGTAAAAATGAACTGAAGATTCTTAGAAGGAAATGTGACACTTTATCTCTGTTCAAGATGAAAGCCAAATATGTCTAGGGCTAGCCACAGGCTCAAATTCTAGCTCTGCCACTGTGCTGGAGGCTGTTAACCACACCACTGTATTCTTTTTCTTTTTCTTCCTTGAAGCAGTGAGATGCCCTGGGTACTGGCTGGGCCCATGGCTGACCATGTACAGCCTAAATTTTCCAATCTCCTTTGCAGGTAGATGTGGCCATATAATTAGGTTTAGGCCCATGGAAGTGACATGAGCACCACTCTGGGTCCTGGGTATTCTCATCTTCATTATCTTGCTGGAAAATAGCAATGACTGGAACAATCTGGGAAGCTGTAGGTTGAGGACGGTAGACAGGGACTTGCTCACTTCTGGGCTCTGAGGGTGAAATAAACTTCTATTGTATTTAAGCCACTGTACTTGGAAGTCTCTCTGTTATAGCAATCTAGCCTGTACCCTACTGATACAGCTACTTACTACCAGTGCAACTCGGGGCAAGTTATTTAACCTGTGTAAGCCTCAGTTTCCTCATCTGTGAAATGGAGTTATAATATTTTATTTTGTAAGGTACTAAGTTAAGGAATAAATGAGTTAAGAGACATAAAGTGCCAAATCAGTGCCTTACACACACAAAACTGCTCGCCTAATGGTAGATGATAATAGCAAAGATAAGGGGGTTCTTAGGAAGCTGCTTTCAAAGGCCTGTGACATCAAACAGCGGTTGTGCCCACAAAGCCCTAAAGGTAACAATATGTACCTGCTTTGAACAGAGTTTCTAAGAGTAACAACATATTCAGGGAAAATCAGGGGTATCTTATGTTTTAGCCCAGAAGACGAATTCAGATTAAACAATGTTTAATTAGAATTTAGCAAAATCTTTAAACAGTTCTTTATATCATGTTCTATATTATTAAATGGTATACAAACACTATTTGTTTATGCTTAGTTGATTGAGCTGAGTTTCATATTTGTATACAAAAATAGCTGAGTAGAAAGGTACATTAATCAATACGAACCAGGGTAGGCTGACAAAGAGATCCACGAATGGATTGGAATTATCCACACTGGACGCCTAGCTTGACACAAAGAGTTCTACAGTCAGTGCAGGCCGTGGCCTAATGTGTCTTATGCATATTTCCCCCTCTAGATAGTCCCTTTGCAAGTGATACTTATTGGCCCTCTGACATGGGGGATTCTTTTTATCTCTTACTGGTGGGGCACGGTTAGACTGTCCTCTTAGGGTTTCTGTAACCTTGAGATTTGCTCAACACTGGAGTTGACAGATACTCTTGGCACCAAGATAAGATGAATATTTTGACTCTAAGTACTTCCTCAGGACTCTTACGTGGGTTTTACATGTCACAAGATGCAGAGAAACCACAAGATTACATCACCCAGTGGAGGCCAGTGTCTCTGAAATGGGAGCACGGATCACATTACCAGGCTTAACCCCTTCCATCAACCCTGATAACGCAGTGCCTATAACGGGATGTGGGCCAGTAAGGAAAGGGGAGGCTGAACCAGAAGGCGGTGGGAAAAGATGCTACGTAATCTGTACACACTGGTATGATCGTTTACCCCATGAAAATGGGATTGAGATAATGTTCTACATCCTCCTTCGTGGAGGCATCAATAAATATTCAGTAAGCCAGGCTGGACTCTGCCTCCTCTAAGAGACTTAAGGGAGCTACAGTTGCCTCGGCAAAGGGGGAGTCCTGGTGTCGTGTCACGCACAGCCCACTCCTTAGACTGAGAGCTGAAGCTCCGGGGCTGCACCCACACAGAAGCAAGAACATCTACAAACACCAGCCCAGGAATAAAAACACTCCCCCCAGGACACTGCTTTGCAGCACCAGCAACAACCACCATACTAGGGAAGCAACAATCAACTCAGGACCTTGATTCCTGCTCTACTTCCCTGAATTGTACTTACAGGTTCCCGGCCATCCATGGCTTCCATCCAGAGCCTCCGGTCCTCTTCCGACAATGCCTGCATGGTGATAACCCCTGGCCTGCGGAGAAAGAAGGACATGGATATGAACCCAGTGCCACAGGTAGAGAGATCCTGACGAAGGTGAACCTTAAAGAAACACCAACACCACAGAGTGAGAGGTCGCTAGGGTTAACAACTCGAAGAAAAGGCATGCCTCTAGTCTTTTCTGAGCCACCTTCCAGTGTCAGAAAGCAAAGCCGTTTCCCCAAATCCCTCTCAATAAGCCCATGTCTTCCAGGGAGATAGGAAGAAACACAGAAGGTATGATTCTACATACAAGTGAGGGACACAGATGAGTCCCTCTTGGATCTTGTTTGTTCCTTGATATCTTATTCATTCCTGTTCTCCAAAATGCTGAACAGAGTGCTTTCCTCACAGTAGGAATGCAAAAAATATGGATTAAAGTGAATGGAATTATTGGGCTGGAGATAAAAAGAGGGGGAAACATCGAGCTGGAGGGATCTTGGTTTCTTAAGGTCTCGACCAATGCATCTAAACTGCTTTTGACATGGTGACGTTTTATGGAGGTAATCGGCTTTGTAATTATGATTATATTAAACATATAGTATTTTTTAAATGAATATTTGCCATGTCAGGGGCTAAGTTTTACATGCATTAGCTCTTTCACCCTCTCATTGAAATCTGCTTGCTCTTCCAAACTGAGCACAAACCCTCCAGAAAGCATGCACACAATACCAAATGGTGTTGGCTGAGTTCCCATTAGAGATGGCTCTCCATGAGAAGAGACTTATGCCATAAAAATGAACCTGGGAGAAGTCTGTGTTCAATTAAGCAGTTCTTTACTTAGAGTCCACAGATGGGCCCCAAAGAGTCCACAAACCGCCTTCCCCCCTGCAAATGTATGTGTATTTTTCTGTAGACACAATTCAAATGGTCAGATTATCGAAGAAGACTACAACCCCAAAAAAGTTAAGAAATGCTGATGTGAACCCTCATCTTTAAAGTTTGAGAAAGCCTAAAAGGGATGACGTGGTCTACTGTGCAAGAATTAAGTCCTCTGCGACAACATGGATGGATCTTGAGAGTATCATTCTAAGTGAAATAAACAGAAAAAGTCGAGAACCATATGATTTTACTCATATGTGGGATATAAAACTAAAAGCAACAAACAAGATAAACAAACAAACAAAAACTCATAGACACAGACAATAGTTTAGTGGTTACCAGAGGGTAGGGGGGGAGGGTGGTGGTAGAAGAGGGTAAAGGGATCAAACATATGGTGATAGACGGAGATTTGACTCTTGGTGGTGAACACACAATGTGATATACAGATGATGTATTACAGAATTGTACACTTGAAGCCTATGTAATTTTATTAACCAACATCACCCCAATAAATTTAATTTTAAAAAAGTGACAATCAACTTAAAAAAAAAGAATTAAGTGCTATTACCATCTGCGTCTGCAGCACTTCTGATGATCACAGAGCAGCACACAGACCCACGACCATGCCCTCGGCACCTCCAGTGTGGGCCCCATAAGCACCAAAGCCTGTTTATTCGACCCACCTATAATCACAGCTCCTGGCTTATTTCCATAGTTCCAATGAATATGCTAGAGTTATTTATGTTGTACATATTTTAAATATCACATTTGTTTCTTTTCATTGATCGTCCCTTAAAACGCCCTAAAAAAAGTGTTCAAAGATGTGAGCATTTAAATTCAGAGGGTTGGGGATTTGAGGGGCACTGGGGGTGAGGGGGTGAATGTGTGAGGTTATGAATGAGTGTGTGTGTGGGGAGGGTGAGAGTGGCAGAGGGGGGCGTCTATGTGGGTGGGTAAGCGGGTAGATGAAAAGATGCTGAGCATAAAAGGCAGGTGATGGGACGCTCATTCCCGAGAGGGCAGTCATTCCTGAGGGCACTGGCACCCTAATGCAAACATGACCCGGAAGTTCCGATAACTACTCTCTCCACCAGCACCTGCCAGGGCTCTCCTCCTCTTCTCAGAAATTCTCATTCTCAGACCCAGGTGCCCATCTCCCACCATCAGCCCCTTCAGCGTGCCAGACCCACTGGATGTCTGCAGAGTCCTGGCAGCCACTACTCCCCAGAGAGGACCCTACAGTTTGGGGACACAGTGGATTGATTCTACCCTCCCACCTTTCAAAGAGCCGAGCAGAAAGTGTTAAGGCTTGCAAATTAAAAGTCTACAAAGCTCCTGTCCACTGCAGAGCTCTCACGTCCCTGGACCTGATCTCTGAGTGTTGAGTGTTGTGCCTAGACCGCTGGCTTCACAAGCAGGCATTCCCAGCCAAGCCCCACCTTTCTGAATCTGAACTTCAGGGCTGGGCCTGTGAGCTTAGATTTTAACCAACTCCCCAGGTGATCCTGATGTACAGTTAGGCCTGAGGCTGCCCACCCACCCCACCTTTCATTCCTATTCCCCGTCCCGGAGAGCAAAGACACCCTCCTTTCTACACTGGGGTCAAGTAATCAGTGTGTCTCCAGGTCACTTTCTGCTAGGTGCTCACCATCAAACGGTGAGACCACAATAGTTGCCTAGCATACCACGGTCTCAGGGACCTCGCAGGTGTCATGTCAACTTCATGGCACACGGTGTGAAATTTCCACCCAGGGCCACAAAGCAGAAGTTCCGACAAGCTCAGAGGCTGTGAAGGTTGAGACACTTGGCTTCAGTAACCAAGGAAAGTCAACAGGATTTGTTTCCATTTCAAGGAGAAATATCAAAATACAAATTCTTTTCCACAAGTAGTTTTGTTCCCCTTTTTTGTGAGAAAAGGTGGTGGAGAAGTGAATAAAGTGGATTTAACACACGTACCTCTAATCCTATCACCCCAAGTTCAGATAATTTTCTCTCAGCCTGTGCAGGTACGTCTGGATCAGAGTGCTTTCTAGAAAATAGTCCTTCAGGCTCCAAGTTTTTTCCCTCATTACAATTCAAACTACTACTACATAAATCTCTTAGGTGTGGATTTCTTAGAACCAAGGTAAACGGGTCATCTGTCTTTATTTTGGAATCAAGCAATAACTTTCTTTCCATATTTACCCTCCCTGTGCCCCTAATAGCCACCGTCCCTCAAAACAAAATAAAATGAGCAAAACTCTTCAACGACTCGACACTTTTCCATGTCAGTCCCTGTAAGACAGCACACTTTCACATGGGGCATCAATTTAGTTCATGTTTGAAACACACCTGGCTTTTCTAACAAAAATGGAGAGAAAGAGAGAGAGCATGCTCGGGGGGGCAGGGGATGGAATGAGAAGGGAAAATATAACACAATGAAAGAGGAATGGAGTCAATGATCAGAGCTCTGTCTAGCTCTACAAAGAACTGTAATCCTATCAAACACCATTAATCCAATCAAGCATCCTAATAAACTATGCAGGTATGCATAGTTTAAAAAGAAAAAGAAATGAGCACAGGTGCTTCTCATATGCATGACTGCACCCCTAAAACACACACACAGCACTAAAAATCACACCCCTACCACAAGGCAAGCCAGGCCAAGGGCTGAAGTGACACACAGGCTCTGACATCACAGCCATTTCCTTTCTCCTCCTGAGCAAGGCATCAAAGTGGCCTACTTCCCTTTTTTGGAATTAATGCCTGATCATTGATAAGGACAAAGAAGGGGTCTTTTGCAAATTCTAGAAAATCTGCCGAGGAGCGCTCTCTACCCACCAGATGAGAGAAGGAACAAATGACTTAACAATCCTTTCTAGAGCTCCATCCTAAGATTCCACTTCAAATACAGCAGCTCCTTTTCACCCTGAGAAAGTCCTTGCTTAGCACTATATCTGGATCAGCTTGGGAACCATGAACAAGGATCTGCTATTTTCTCTTAGCTGGCACCACAGGGGTGATGCAGAAAATAGTTACTCATCTATCTCAGGGAAGACTGCTACCGACCACCACAACTCCCCCCGACTCTGGCCCCCATAAGAGCCCACGAACAGCCACACATTGTTAGGCAACCCACCCAGGGGCTGGGGCCACTGGTGTCAGCCCGGAGCCTTCTCACTAGCCAAGAGCAAACAGAGTCACAACCAGCCCTGATTCCAGGGTTACTTGACAGCTTTCTTACTCTAATCTTATTCCTGAATCTAAGTCAACAATAGTGATCTCAGTGGCTTGGCAATTTACCCACTTCCTACTGGACAAGGAAATGCTATTACTAACTCCACCCCACTGAAACAAACACACTCAGAATCTAACAGGACTGTTCTTTCTAAATCAACCTCCAAAGATCTTGGGTTTACTCATTCATTAGACTATAAATCTTCTTGTTGGCAAGAGTTCATTCCCGAGCTTCCTTCATACTACATACAGCACATTTAAGAGTCAAGTTCAGAGTAAGAGGGGGACTGTGGCATCCACAGAAACCGATGTTCTCACAGCCCGTATCTGAAACCTGCCTCACTGTGTTGATATAGGAAGACAGAGGGAAATGATGAAAGCTTGGAGAGCAGGCTGCCACCCACAGGTGAAAAGAGCTGTGCAAGTGCCAAGGAAAGCAAGTGGTCCTTTGCGTCTAACGTACTCCTGGGAAAACTGATTCCTAACAGGTCCCGGACAGTTACAAGGATTCATGGTTCAGGAGAGCTTCATTTACACAGAGATAGGGCCACAGTCAGGCTGGATAATCTTGGAGAATGACATCTCTTCCATGTCTGTCTAAGACAGCGGTTCTCAACCTGTGGGTCGCGACCCCTTTGGGGGTTGAACGACCCTTTCACAGGGGTCGCCTAAGACCATCGGAAAACAAAAAGATATTTACATGACGATTCATAACAGTAGCAAAATTACAGTTATAGAGTAGCAACGAAAATACTTTTATGGTTGGGGGTCACCACAACATGAGGAACTGTATTAAGGGGTCGCGGCATTAGGAAAGTTGAGAACCGCTGGTCTAAGAGGTAACAGACTCACATGTCTATAGAGACCAGGCAAGTCAGCAAAATGAATGAAAGTGGGTAAGAAATTGTTTATTGCCCCAAGGAAAATAGGCTTGGTCTCATTTTCCTTACAACATGT